AGTCCCACTCAAATCCAACCCCCTCTCATTCAAGTACAAGTCCCACTCAGATCCAACCCCCTCTCACTCATGTACAAGTCCCACTCAAATCCAACCCCCTCTCACTCATGTACAAGTCCCACTTAAAATTAAAAAAAAAAAAAAATTATTTCCTTGTAAAGTTTACAATGTTTTGTTTACATATTGTGAAATGTTAATTACAAAGAAGGCCACTAGCATGCCTAGGCATTTTGGGAAGACTAATACTAATTCTTACTTTATACTGATATAGGTCATGGAGCAGTACATTTGAACATACATTATTAGATAAATACATAATTAGATACATACCTAGCTAGACACATACATAATTAGATTTACACTATTGAGGTAGTACGAGTCATATAATAATTACAGATAACGAGAGTAGGACTATGTTGTTTTGGTTGCGTTCATGATGCAAAAAAGAAAATAAGGTGATTTTCATTTCATTTGGTTAGCTAATGATGGGGTGTGTTAGGGAGATAAGATGTTTTTTGACAGTAGTTTTGAAAATGGTGACTGAGTCTGCAGTTCTAGAGTTTCCAGGCAGAGTTTTCCAGATTTTAGGCCCTTTTATGTACATCAAATTTTTGTATAGGTTTAGCCAGACACGAGGAATGTCATAGAGATTTTTGTGTCTGGTATTATGTCTATGGGTCCTGTTGCAACTATCAAGAAATCATTTTAGTTCAGGGCTAATATTAGAATTTATGGTTCTGTAAATGTAGGTTGCACAGTGTGGATGTAGGTTGCACAGTGTGGATGTTCTGTACAGTGAGTAAGTTTAGGTCTTTGACGAGTGGGTGGGGGGGAGTTGCCTAGGATTGGATTGAGAGAGAATTCTTATTTCGGCTTTTTGTTGGCTGGAATATTGCTGCACACTAACAGCACCTTTCAAGGCAGGTGAAATTGCTGACCTAGAAAATGTACAGAGAACCTTTATGGCACACATAATGGAGATAAAATACCTCATTACTGGAGCGCTTGAAGTTCCCTGAACCTGTATTCCCTGGAATGCAGGCTGGAGAGATACAGATTATACACCGGAAAACCCTTGAGGGACTATACCGAACTTGCAACAAAAAATCACTCACAACAAAAAAAAACCTTTTGGCAGACGATGAAACATCCCCCCAATGAAAGCGAGGGTCACAAACACTTAAGAGACAATACAATAATGCAGGGGCCCGAGCTGTTAAACTCCCTCCCAGCATAAAAGGGGGATTACCAATAGCCCCCCTGGCATCTTCAAGCTGGCAGGGGACAAGACCTAAAGCGGTCCCTACCACCCGGGCTGTGGCTCTACGTTGGATTGTGTGCACCCAGCAGTTAAACTGTTAAGCTTGATCCCCGGGAGGCCTGGTCACAACCGGGCCGCGGGGGCTTTTGCCCCCCGGAACTCTCTCCAGGTAAACTCCGGTTATTTTTGGGCTTTAGGTGGGTTGCTACGTTGAACCTCAGGCAAAAATAAAAGGGGGTAGGTAGGGATAGATGATGTAGTATAGTGTAAGTAGGGGCTGATTGGGTATTAGGAACATATTTTAGAGAGGATCCCAACGTTTTTGGTACTACAAAATCCAAACCCCTCTCACTCATGTCAAGTCCCTCAAATCCAAAAAACCCCTTTTACTGCTTCCTATTTGTACTCACCAGGTGGCAAAAAGGAATAAAAGAATCTTGGGGAGGAAATATATACATGACGTCCTCAGTTTTAAAAAATTTTTTGCTCAGCCCGGGGATGATTTTAAAGGGATAGTTGTTTGTTTAATTACCTTTATTATGCATCCCCTCCCATCCGTGGGTGGGAGTAGAAGACCACAGAAGTACATAATGGGTTTCCCGGACTGTCCTCAAAAATTACAGAGGGACTAAAGGGGCCAGGGGCTGTACCTCAACATTACAAGCCATAAAAATGGGTCCAGACACACCCAACATTACAGAGGACATACGGGTCCGAGACGGGCTGAAAGCTATGCACATCTTGAACCCCGGTTTTCGACTGAAGAAAACCCACCATGTCTGTGAAACACCTTTTGGGGTAAAGACACCTAACTGCTGCACGTGTCTAATCTACTTATCAGTATTGTAAATCATGTCTCACGTCATGCAAAAATGGCTGCATCATATAAACTTTTCAATGCATGCAAGTCATATTTAACCACTAATTTATTAAAAATTTTCACTGTCAATGCACCAAGTTCTGTACAGTCTCAATGAACACCAAATGATAACACAGACAGACCCCACTTTATAACACTTCGCTTTACAGTGTTTTGCAACATTTTCGCTGCACGGTGGTTTTCAATTGTATACCCATTCTTCAATTATTCAGAGTTCCAACAGTAAATATATTCACCACTCACTATAAGCTAAAGATAAAAATATTTTAAGGTAAGTAATGTGTGTATTGTACAGTAGTCCTCCCTGCATCTGCAGGGGATACGTTCCAAGACTTACTGCTAATACTTGAAACCACAGATAGTAGCCAACCATGTATACAAGTTGTGTTTCATTTACATCTGTACCTATAAAGCTAATTGATAAATTATGCACAATAAGATGAGAATTAGTATTTTTCACTGATGGGAAGCACTTCACTGCTTCTCTTAGGCCTTGAAGAACTGCCAGCATCACTACTTTTGTGTTCTGGGGCCATTATTAAACAAAATTAATTTTTTTCAGGCCATGCTAAACCGTGTATAACTGAATCTGTGGAATATGAATACAGTGGACCCTTGGTTTTCGTGGTGTCAGTTTTTGTGAATTTTGGTTATCGGTAGCTTTTTTGTCAAAATATAGCATTGGTTTTCATGATTTCCCTTGGATTTTGGCAGTCATACAGAACGTGTCCCAGTGGCCCCATGCACACAAAGCCTCTCACAGATGCATTCAGAGTCAGTGTGGCATTGTTTCTCGGCGAGTGAATATTACCCTGCGAGGTAATGTGAAACATTTTGTAATAATATTGCTTTTAGCCACCATGGGCCCAAAGAAAGCTGCTAGTATCAGCCCTTTGATACAGGTGAGAAACACGATAGAATTCAAGAAAGAACACGCCAGCCAGGGTACTTCCCCACACACACCAGCCAGGGTTCTTCCCCACACACACCAGCCAGGGTACTTCCCCACACACACCAGCCAGGGTACTTCCCCAAACACACCAGCCAGGGTACTTCCCCACACACACACCAGCCAGGCTACTTCCCCACACACACTAGCCAGGGTATTTCCCCACACACACAAGCCAGGGAACTTCATGCACACCAGCCAGGGTACTTTCCCACACACCAGCCAGGGTACTTCCCCACACACCAACCAGGGGTCCAGTGACTCTCAAGCTGGTGCTAGTGCCAGTAAAAAGCAAAGAAGGAAGGAAGGGAAGTAACCCCCGATAAGGACTTGATACCTGAAGTCTTTATGGAAGGGGATTCACCTTCCAAACAATATAATCAGTCCTCCCTCTCCCCTCCTCCCCGTCTTCCATACACCAACAAGAGTCTTCAATAAAGGTAAGTGTGATGTTATTAATGCTTTATATTGATTTGTCATTCTTTTCTGTATGTAAATTTATATTTAATCTAAAAAAAATTATTTTTTGTTAATACTTTTGGGTGTCTGGAATGGATTCATTGGATTTACATTATTTCTTATGGGGAAAATGGTTTTGGTTTTTTGAATTTTGGTTTTTGGCAGACTCCCTGGAATGGATTAATCACGAAAACCAAGGGTCCACTGTACGTGGACATGTGGGGTTCTACGGTATGTGCATTTTTTGGGCCTAGTTCTAATGGTCACATAATATATGATAGTGTAAACATGTTGTCAGACTTTTATATGCATTAAAAAAAAAAAGGGGGGGGGGAGGTTATATTTCATTCTATAGCAGTAGCCTGGAACCTAACCTGCTGTATAAGTGGGGCCCCTCATGTATTTGAGAGAGGAAAAACTAGAGAGAGACAAGAAGCAAGAGAAAGCAAAAGTAAAAAAGGGTAAGGAAGAAAGAGGAGAAAGCAACAGAGGAAACAACAATGTAAGGGAGAGCAAAACATGGGGGAGGGGAAGTGAATGAAGATAATTATGAATAATAATAATAATAATAATAATAATAATAATAATAATAATAATATAATATACTGTAATAAAGTATTTTATTTTCAAAAAAGTGTAAAAGCCATACAATTTGTGAAAATTCTATATGCATAGTATTTTAGGCTTATACTAGGCCTAAAACTACTTAATTCTAAAAAAATACATGAAAGGGGGATCTGTTTTTAATTATTATAATCAAAGAAAGTGTTAAACTGACAAGGGCCATCTGTTTTTAATAATATTAATAATAATAATAATAATAAAAATAATGGAAAGCCATGACCCTTTTTAACCCATGTCAACAGATTTTTAGAGCTGGAAATGAATTCTTCCTCCGTAAATCATGCGTGTCGTAGGAGGTGAATAAAATACCGGGAGCAAGGGGCTAGTAACTCCCTTCTCCTGTATAAATTACTAAATTTAAAAAGAAAAGCTTTTATTTTTCCTTTTTAAATTTAGGGTGACCTAGAAAAAAGAAAGTTTTTCTTTTTTTTAGGCCGCCCTGCCTTGGTGGGATGCGGCCGGTGCGTTGGAAAAAAAAAAAAATTCTACTTACGAGTCTAGTACAGTATACTGACAGTAAGATGGATTACAAAAAATACAATACTCTACATCACTATATTTCTTTGTACAACTATGTATCATGGCCAAATAAAAAATAAATATGGTAAACTCTGGATATACGTAACAGATCTCGATACGGCGGACTCTGATATAACAGACTTTTATATTTCTAATATTATTCTATTTTGATGAATACTCATACAATCCCCTGATTAGTATGTTATGTAAAGTGTTTTCTGTATAATATGTATTATTTATGTGCGAGTCAAAATTAATAATTGGATAAGCAGGATTAAAGTCATGATATAGGAGAATGAAATGCAATAATCAATCAATCAAGTTTATTCTCTATAAGGATTACAATGTGGGGTTTATGGATTCTGGATATTGTGTGGTTTACATGTTATAAAATACTAATTACGGAGGGGGCCACGAGGACACCTAGCATGGCTAGGCATTTAGGGCAGACTTAGAATAATTCTTAACTTTAAATTATTACAGATTATGGTATTAAGGCTAAGTGACTACATTATAGCAATGTGACTGCTTTTGTTTTGGCACAAAACATAGTGTCTATATTGGAGTATCATAGGCAAACTTATGACTAGTTAGGATTCATTATTTTAAGATTAAGATTCGTATTTCTGTGTTTATAGTCAATGGGTGAGTGAGTGTAAGTGTGAACCACCAGGTGGTTTTCATGTAGTTAGTTGACGGGGTATATCAGGGAGATAAGATGTTTTCTAACTGTAGTTTTGAAAGTGATGAATGTGTCCGCAGTTCTAGAGTTTTCAGGTAGGGTGTTCCAGATTTTAGGTCCTCTGACATCCATTGAATTTTTGTAAAGGTTTAGTTGGACACGGGGAATGTCATAGAGATGTTTGTGTCTGGTGTTATGCCTGTGGATCCTGTCACAACTATCAAGAAAGCATTTTAGGTCAAGGTTAATATTGGAATTTAAGGTCCTGTAGATATAGATTTCACAGTAGTAAGTGTAGATATAGATTGCATAGTAGTAAGTGTAGATGTTCTGAACAGGGAGTAAGTTTAGATCTATGAAGAGTGGGGAGGTGTGTTGCCAGGGATGGGATTTAGTGATTATTCTTACTGTGGCTTTTTGTTGGGTTATTATTGGCTTTAGGTGTGTTGCTGCAGTTGATCCCCAAGCACAAATAGCATAGGTGAGGTATGGATAAATGAGTGAATGGTATAGTGTGAGAAGGGCAGTTTGCAGCACATAATATCGTATCTTGGAGAGGATCCCCACCGTTTTGGATACTTTTTTTGTTATGTGTTGGATATGGGTGCTGAAATTTAGGTTGTCGAGGTACAGGCCTAGGAATTTGCCCTCATTATGTCTGGCAATTAGTGTTGTCGATCTTAGTGTTAAGTTGCGCAACACCTGCTCTGCTACCAAACATAATATAATAGGTTTTGTCAGTGTTAAGTATAAGTTTATTGGCTGTAATCCAAGTCGATATTTTGATGGTCTCGAGTTGTGTCATCCTAAAATAAAACTAATAATAAAACTGACAATAATATTAAAATAATAATAATAAAATTAACAATATTAACCCTTTCAGGGTCGGCAGGCCCTCTCCAAAACTTGTTCTCAGTCAGAAATTTTTTGGAAAAAAAAAAATTATTTTTTCTTACGAAATGATAGAGAATCTTTTCCCGATCATAATGACACCAAAAGTAGTATAAAATTTGATGGATAACTTACGGAATTATGCTCTCACGAAGTTAGCGGTCTCGACGATGTTTACGCATCGATGATTTTGCCCAATTTGAGCCCTATTTTCGGCCAATTCCCATGTTCCAGTCAAAAAAATCATAACTATTTCACTAGAACTCCATTTTTTCTATCGAATGAGTACAAGAAACCACCTATTTACCGATTTCAACTATCCAATAAAGTGGTCAGAAATTAGCAATTTTGCCAATTTCACACAAATTTCAAAAGATGCTAATTTCCAAATAGGGTCCAAAATAAACAAGACAGACATTCCTGGAACTAAAATAACATTTCCTCTGTTCATTAGTCATGTCCCCAGGCCTCTCTTACATTTATTTTGCTTTCCACTTTGAATTTTTCTCACATATAAATAGAAGATTTACTGTTATGCAGACTGCTGCATTAGTGTAGAAATGGTATAAATAATATCAGCGCACCTGTGAAAGAATATTAGACTTGCCAGTTGACGTGTGTTGACGCGTGGCATGATTTGTTTACTTTTGAACTTTGGCAAAAATCGAACATTTCTGCTACTTTGAGCTTAATTTCAAGGTACTTTTCATTGTGAAACCAATCAAAATCATCTCAATTTCTGTAATATGCCTTCCATTCTATAAAATGAGATCAGGAAAACTAGAATACAACCATAAATAGCATACAAAAATACACTGCAAAGTCACTGTTTTAAACCAAAAATACGGTCGGAGTTTTTTTTTCCTCATTATCCACCGTGTGCTGCAAGATTTTTTCATATTGTGCACACTGACCACAAAGACCTGGCTTTCTCTCGCTAGATTTGAAGGTGCTAGAATTTATGCATACTAGTACGGGACCAATCCTGGCGTGCAAGCCGTACTAGTATGGCACTAACCCTGAAAAGGTTAATATAATAATGCATATAATAATAATAATAGCAGAAATAATAAAACCGACAATAATAATAATGATATAAAAGGGTAAAGATAGAGCCAATAAAGTAAGGGGATACACAACATAATAAACAAGACAAGAAGTAATATAAATGATTAGGCTGTTTAAGCACCGTACTTGTTCTGACTTTAAATACATTTATATTACGTCTTTTCAATAAGGAAGAGTTGAAAATGACATACAACATCACTTTTGATGCAATATAGTCTTGATTTTGTGGTTAATTTCCTCATTTTTTCATTCCGATGTATTCTGCTAACATTGTTGTTCATTTTGATGTATTCTGCTATGCACTGATGCATTCTCCTATGCATTTTTTTTAATTTTAATGCTTTTTGCAATTCATTTAGCATTAAACTGAATCCAAGTTAGCAGACTCATAATTATGTGCAGCACTTGTACTGACCATCTCCTTCACCATCTTTAAGAGGTGTATATGACCTATGTTCTCTCTTTCTAGAATGATCAACTCGTCTATTATCAATGGTGGGCTCAAAATTTCGTGTCCCAGGCTTAATTCTGATATATTTCTGGTATGACCTTCCAAGGCCTTGGCATCACTAATGAGCCTCTTATTGATGATATTCCTGGCCTTTTCATTCTGTTCAATCTTTTTCTTCATCTCTGTAATCTGTTCCTCCTTTTTATCATACATATTTTTCATAAAATAGTCAATTTTCTCCTCATGGGTTACTAAAGTGATGTATTCTTTTTTTTCCATCTTGTGATCCATCCAGTTGTGAAAGCATCCTATCTTGCTGCATTTTCCCGTGGAGGGTACTTTGGAACAGGAAGTAGCAAGTGCAGCTGCAATAGTGCATAATGCCCCCACACCAGCAAGTGGCGAAAACACCCTTCCTGCAATGAGTCCAACTGCGGCTGATGGTCCAGCAATTTCACCGAAGGTTAGGTTTTCATGATGTCCTGTACAGGTACTACGACACTTACTACAGTTGTGGACGTGGTAATCTCCTTCTACTAAAACCGCAATATTTTTCTCCCTCCGTACTGTGTAGATATAATTTATGTCACTTAGCTCAACCATCAAGTCCTTTAGTGAGTATTTAAACTTTTCAATTGTGTCGTCAAGCTCAGCTAAGCACTTTACATTTTTCATCAATCTATTTTTGGTTTCCTCTAGGAGTTTCCTTTCTAGTAAAAGGTTTCTAGTTTGTTTGAGACTCACTGCTAAACAATTCTCTAAATCTTTAAAAAAAAAACTGTAAATTTCCTGCATATTCATCCATCTATACTTCAGACAAGCAAGAATATTTCTGCTATAATCATTGTTACTATGTGACACATATAAAGGCCAGTTGTCCATTTTATAGAAGTTGACAAAGTCTACTTGGGCATGCTTCACCACGTTAACGACCTCACAAGTGTCATCTGAGGCAAATGTAGCTAGAAGACGTGTTACACTACCAATGTTTCTCCCAAGAACAGAGCTAAACTCTTTAAGCATATTTATATGGTGTGTTGTTATCTTGTTTTGATTTGCCTTGGCTACTAAAGCAACACAGTTAAGATCATCAATACCATAATCATTTGTCAGGAAATGAGTCATTCTCTCTATGGCAATTTTCTCATAATCTTCTCTGGTGTCGCCAAACCCGGGTGTGTCTATCAACATATAATTACACTGTAGAGGCATTCCTTCTTGATGATAGACAATGTAGGCAGTGACATACTCTGTCTGACTCTCTACTTGATGAAGATAATCTCTGTCAACTTGGTCTTTCAACTTAAACCTAAAATTATCTTCAAAGTTGACACCAAAGAGGAAGTTGATCATGGCATCGATGGCACGAGTCTTCCCGGCACCTGTCTCCCCCAGCAGGAGGACTGACTTGATGGCTTCCTTATTCTCAGGTCCAATGGTCATAACTTGTATCTTGTGGTCCTCGTCCTTGTGAAGATCTTTAGTCTTTATCTCATAGGTTGAAAGTCCAGCTTTCTCTTCCACTAGTGAACAATGGTGCTCTATCAAGTGCTGCTTCAGCTGGGCGTTTGATGTGCTAATCTGAAAAAAATCAGTTGTTTATTCTAGGGCCTTTTTTGTGCAGAATAGAAAAATATCACAGTTCCTAGGCCTTTTGTGTATCCATATGCTCTTGCACTACCATCAACGATAAACTAGCCACTACCATCCACACGATGGATATGAGGTGCACAATAAACTAGCCACTACCATCCACACGATGGATATGAGGTGCACAATAAACTAGCCACTACCATCCACAAGATGGATATGAGATGCACCATAAACTAGCCACTACCATCCACAAGATAGATATGAGATGCACCATAAACTAGCCACTACCATCCACAAGATGGCAATGAGATGCACTATAAACTAGCCACTACCATCCACAAAATGGATATGAGATGCACCATAAACTAGCCACTACCATCCACAAGATGGATATGAGATGCACCATAAACTAGCCACTACCATCCACAAGATAGATATGAGATGCACCATAAACTAGCCACTACCATCCACAAGATGGCAATGAGATGCACTATAAACTAGCCACTACCATCCACAAAATGGATATGAGATGCACCATAAACTAGCCACTACCATCCACAAGATGGGCATGAGATACACCATAAACTAGCCACTACCATCCACAAAATGGATATGAGATGCACCATAAACTAGCCACTACCATCCACAAGATGGATGAGATGCACCATAAACTTGCCACTACTGTCCACAGGATGGATACAAGGTGCATAATAACCATCCACAAGATGGATATGAGATCCACCATAAACTAGCCACTACCATCCACAAGATGGATATGAGATCCATCATAAACTAGCCACTACCATCCACAGGATGGATACGAGGTGCACAATAAACTAGCCGCTTTGGTGACAAAATCTAAAAATCTAATCAAAGTAATCTGTAATTCTAAAAGAACAAATTATATAGAACTTTGACATTTAAAACATTATGGTTTTTATAGGTTATTCCTTTACCATATTTTATTTAGAGAATAAAGTTTTAAAATCAGAGTACAGTGGAACCTCATCACTTGAACTTAATTTGTTCCAGAAGGCTGTTCAAGTGCTGATACTGAACAAATTTGTTCCCATAAGGAATAATGTAAATTAGATTAATCTGTTGCAGACACCCAAAAAATACGCTCACAAAAGCACTTATAAAAATGCACGTCGTGTTTGTTTGGTTGAGTGCCGAGCAAAAGGCCGACTACTGAGCGATTTGTTTACCGAAAAAGAGCTCAATAACAGAGCTGAGTACCAAGGTTCCACTGTACTATCATTATTTACATTTTCTTGGACTTCCTTTATTTTGTTCTAACAAGACCACATACATTATTTAAATGGTAATGTAAATCACTTATAAAATAAGTAAAAATTGTAAAATAAAATTATTAAATTGGAATACAAGGCAGAGTTGCTTAATGCAGTTTTAATAATTCTTAAAAATTTTCACTTGTGTATGAAAATTGTGAAATCAAAGCACAGCATTTAAATATGTAATTTAAATGTAGTGTACATGGTAAAATTAGTGCTATGACTATTGTTTTACCTCTAAGTCTGCATTAAAAAAAATACACATTACTTTCCTGCACAAGTAAGGTTGTATATTGATAGATTATACATACCAAGAAATGTATGTTGCTATGTATACATGCTAAGAGCATTCAAATTCAAATATTTATTTCTTTGTACAGTACATAATGTGTAGTTAACATGCGGTAAATACGTATATTGTTAAATACAAAGAAAACCACTAACATGCTTGAGAATTTCAGGCAGACTAATATTAATGCTGACACACTACTTAAAACTAAACACAGCTTATGGAGTGGTTAATTTTAGTTACATATTATTACATGAAGAAGGGTAGCAAAAATTCTATAATAAAATTTATAGTAGAGGGGCTGCAAAAAAAAAAAATGATTACAATAAGTACAATTTACAATAGTACAATTTTAAGTGTATGCTAATAATTAAATTGATTTAGTGTTCTTAAGTTAATTGGGATTTCTTGAGTAGTTTCAAATTGGTTCTGTGATTTCCAGCACAGTACAGTGTTGGTATAGTTAAGTTTTAAAGCTCTTCTTTTTAGTAATTTATACATGAGAAGGGGTTACTAGCCCATTCTTCTTGGCATCTAGTCGCCTCCTACGACACATACAGCTTACGAAGGAAGAATTCTGTTCCATTTTCCCATGGAGATAAGCAGAAATAAACAAGAACCAGGAAGAAAATAGAAAAAATCCCAGAGGGGTTAGTATATACAGTGGTACCTCAGGATACGAGCAGCTCAAAACGCAAGCAGTTATGTAAGTGTATTTATGTGAGTGCTTTTGTAAGTATTTTTGGGGGTCTGAAACAGATTAATTTACATTATTTCTTACAGGAACAAATTCGTTTGGTATCAGCACCAAAAGCCTTCTGGAATGAATTAAGTTCGTATCCTGAGGTACCACTGTATATGCTTGTACATGCATGTACGTATAGTGTGACCTCAGTGTAAGTAGAAGTAGCAAGACATACCTGCATCTTTGCATGTTTATGAGACAGAAAAAGACACCAGCAATCCTATCATCATGCAAAACAATTAACCCTTTCAGGGTCCAGAGGCCAAATTTCCAAGTGTGCACCAGTGTCCAAGAATTTTCAAAAAATAATTTTATTTTTTCTTATGAAATGGTAGAGAATCTTTTTCTGAAGGTAATAAAACAAAAAGTACGAAATTTGGTAGAAAACTGACGAAATTATGCTCTCGCGAATTTTGATGTGTCAGCGATATTTATGCATTGGCGATTTTGCCGACTTTGACTCCCATTTCAGGCCAATTACATTATTCCAGTCGACCAAATTCTTAGTTATTTTAGTAGTATTACTTCTATTCTATCGATTGAGCACAAGAAATCGCCAAATCAACTGTTTCAACTACAAAATAATGTGATCAGAAATTGGTAATTTGGCCAATTTAGTGCAAAGTTCAAAATATTCCAATTTCAAAATAGGGTCCAGAATAAATAATGCAGGCATTCCTGGAACTAAACTAACATTTTCTCTGTTCATTAGTTATGTTTTCAGGCTTTACAAATGAATTCCATTTTGATTTTTTATTCACATAATGAATTTTTATTCAAACTAAAAAATAGAAGATTTACTGTTATGCAATATTGTAATAATTGTATAAATAATATCATCACATTTGTGAACGTATATCAGACCTACCAGCTGGCGTGTATTAGACGTGGGGGCCATTTGTTTACTCTTGAACATCGACAAAAATTTAACAGTTTCACTACTTTGAGCTCAATTTCAAGCCATTTTCAATACTAAAACCAATCAAAATCACCTCTATTTCTGTAATATATCTTCCATTCTATCAAATGAGACCAAGAAATCGCAAATACAACCATAAAAAAACATACAGAAAACACTGCGGTCGTTGTTTTAATCGAAAATTATGGTCTAAGTTTTTTTTCTCTCATTTTGCACTGTGTTGCAGGATTTGTTTTATGTGGTGCACACATACCACATAGATGTATTCTCTCATATCTAAGCCCAAATTTACTTCTCACAGCTTATCAGAGTGAGCTGAGCTCATGGCGTAGATCTACGGTTTGGACCCTCAACGTAAAGCCGTAGATCTACGGCACGGACCCTGAAAGGGTTAAAGGCAGGCAGACAGGGGATCTTTTGCTGGTTTGGGCAATAAATTCCAGATCTTGGGGCCCTGTAAGTGCAGAGGTGGCCCGTAGTCTGGTAGGAAAAGCTCTTACTTCACATGCTCAGTGTCCAGGTTTGATTCCTGGCAAGGGTGGAAACATTGGATGTGCTTTACCTTTGATATACCTTTGAAGAATTTCGAGAGTATATCTACTCTCTGAGCCCGGCCATGGGCCAGGCTCATCTAGTGCTCGCCTGGTCAACCAGGCTGTTGCTGCTGGAGGCCCGCTGCCCCACATATCCATCACAGCCTGATTGATCTGGCACCTGGTGAAGATACTTGTGTAGTTTCCTCTTGAAGGCTTCAACACTTGTTCCAGCAGTGTTTCTGATATCTTCTGGTAAGATGTTGAAAAGTCTGGGACCCCGGATGTTGATACAGTGTTCCCTTATTGTCCCCACCACACCCCTGCTACTCACTGGGTTTATTTTACACTTCCTCCCATATCTCTCACTCCAGTATGTTGTTATGGCAGTGTGCAGATTTGGGACCAAGCCCTCGAGTACCTTCCAGGTATATATTATCATGTACCTCTCTCTCCTCCACTCCAATGAGTACATGTTCAAGACTTGCAGGCATTCCCAGTAGTTTAGGTGCTTTACTGGCTCAATGTGAGCCGTAAACAATCTCTGTATTTGTTCCAGCTCCGATATTTCTCCTGCCCTGAATGGGGCCGTCAGCACTGAGCAATATTCTAAGTGAGGGAGCACTAGTGATTTGAAGAGTGCCACCATCGGCATTGTTTCCCTTGTTTTGAAAGTTCTCAATATCCACCCAGTCACCTTCCTGGCTGTCATGATCTTCGTCTTGTTATGGTCTTTAAAAGAAAGGTCTGCTGACATAATTATTCCTAGGTCTTTTACGTGTTCCTTACGTTCTATTTGGTGACCCTCTTGAGTTTTGTATATAGTGCTCCTTTTGAGTTCTTCATTCTTTCCATACCTAAGCAGCTGGAACTTATCACCATTGAACGCCATGTTGTTTTCCACTGCCCACTGGAAAATCCTGTTTATGTCTTCCTGTACTTTTTCAGTGTCCTCTACCCTACTGACTTTCATGCTTATTTTAGTGTCATCTGCAAATGATGATACAAAAGTGTGCTGGGTGTTTTTGTCTATGTCTGCTATGAGGATGAGGAACAGCAGAGGTGCCAGGACAGTGCCTTAGGGCACTGAGCTTTTGACCTCGCTGATGCTGGATCTTGCCCTGTTCACTACTACTTTTTGTGTTCTGTGTGTTAGGACCGCGAATATCCATCTGCCTATCTTCCCCGTAATGCCCATGGCCTTCAT